GTGACAAAGGGTGTACGATCACACTCCACTTGTGACAAAGGGGTGTACAATCACACTCCACTTGTGACAAAGGGGTGTACAATCACACTCCACTTGTGACAAAGGGTGTACGATCACACTCCACTTGTGACAAAGGGGTGTACGATCACACTCCACATGTGACAAAGGGTGTACGATCACACTCCACGTGTGACAAAGGGTGTACGATCACACTCCACATGTGACAAAGGGTGTTCCTAGGAGATACTTGTTTAAGATGCTTTCACAGAGGGTGATCAAGGATGGACAACTCGTGTCCTAAACTGCAGGCTATCATTCTATGATTCGGACTAAATGAGCAAGAGCCCCATTTTACTTACCTTGTCTAGTAAATTGAACATTGTCATAGGTTGGTAGAAGGCCATGGGCAAGAATTCTGATGTGTTGAGCTCATGAACCCATCCCTTTTCACACCACCAGCAGTCTTCCAGCTGCACAAATGTCACCCCACACCATAACAGAAATACTTGCATATCTTGTTACGGCTTGCAGACAGTTCACTAAATATTCCGGAGAGGACATTTGCCAAATGTAGGTGAATCTATATTATCTGAAAATTGTACAAATCTGGGCTCATCTGAAAACAAAAATTACAGTTTCCTTAAAAGGTGGGAGGATGTACTATTGTATTTGTGATGCCCACTGCTGTCAACATATGATACAACCAGGAGTGAGGACTAGCTTCCATCTAGCTATTCTACCTTGTAGCCCATACTTTGAAGATATCTTCTGATGATAATGGAGTACACATGCACATGTAACATTAAGAACCATTTTTCTTGCAGCATGAAGAACCCATTCTGTTGGTTATGGGTGCTCAGGTCATGCAGAAACTGTTGTTTTCTCATGACATAGTAATTTCTTGCTGAGTTTGACCAGCCTCCCATCACCCAACTATGCAACCTTATGAAAATACTGTTACTTCCTGCTATATTTTTTTATATTTTAACTAGGCTGTTTGTATTCTGTGATCTTTACTGAGCTGTACGTATATTTATTTGTTGGCATTATTTTGCATATGATGTGGTGATGGTCAATTTGTATTTTTGGGAGGACATCTGTTTACTTTTTGGAGGCTGTATTATGTATTTGTAATTCAGAGTTCATATAGCTGCTGTCTTAGAAGAGGGAGTATTTTGTTTAATATATTAATGTTCATGTATATATATATATATATATTATTTTATTTAAGGAGAAACTTACAAGTATATACTCAGAAACTTTACAAATTATTTTGTGTTAAGACTAGTCTCATATAATTAATATTTTTGCTGTTGTTGTAACCGTAGAGTCTTGGGTAGTCATTTTATTAAGATGATAATTTTCCCAAGCTGTTGGTGATTGTTTATCTTAGCAGTTTAGATGGTTATTTGGTTATAATTAAGAAGTTAACTAGAGCTAAATTTTTAAAACGGTTCACCTGTAATGGATATCTACATTATTCAGTTTCGTTACATATGTACAAGTATTAAAGCTGGTTTTGGTCTTCACTGATTGTTTTAGGCTTAAGGATTGAATGTTAAAATCATGTCAGTAGACTAAATGAAAGTAAAATTAGGATTAGATGTATATTGAAGGTATTATGAATTGTTTACAGAATAAATACTAATAGCTGTAATCCAAGGTAAAGTTTCTATTATTTGGTCTTACTGAATTATTTTCTGTTGTAAGTGTAACAGTAGATTTTATTACAGTTTTGTGTTTCTAAAGAGGTTTGTAAATTCTTCATTATTAAATCTAGATTTGATAGCAACCCACCAACAAGCTCAGATAGTGATGACGAAGAAGATGATAAAGCTTCAGGATCTGATGATAAATCATTGAAGGAGAAGAAGCCTAAAGAAAAGAAGAAGAGTAAAAGTGCTAAGACAGTGGTAAGGAAAAAATGAGCAAAGTACCTTACAGGTCCAGTATTGGTAACAAAACCTTGTGTTGTAATTTGGTACCTTAATTTTAACGTATGGCTGTTGTGCGTTAATTGTTTTACGTAGCATGCTTCCGTGAAATTTCTACCATTTCGTGGCTGGAGAAACAATGTGTTATAGCCAATCATAGTGTACGTTTACTCCTCTGGAACAAACAACAAGTGATAATGCCTGTTTACTTGTGTCACATGTATATAGCATGGGAAAAAAATGTTTTTCTGCTTCACCTAAAAGTTATATGGAAATACAAATATGAAAACCAGTATCACTGTAAGTATGGAAACGTTAGTTAAGTTCTTCTTTATCCATCAAGTGATTTATTTTTTTGTGTTGTTTTTTTTTGCCCCTGAGGAATAAAAATCTAACACTGTCTGAAGGACATGGAAACTTTCACCATGTTCTGATCTTAATTTTTACAAATTGTTGATATTTTGATTTCCATAAGTTTACTAGTTCTTTCAGTTCTTTGCACGCTAAGTTGCTCGTATAAGGTTCAAAAACAAGTGTTTCATTTAATTACAATAAATATTAAAAATGATTGATTGGTACTTTTAGAAGATTAAATCAACTTATTTTAACACTGTATCTAAATTTGAAATTGGTACAGCAGTTTACAAAAGAGGGTAATAAACTAAAGATATTTAACATTATGCTTCATTAAAGTTAAAACAAATAACATGAAGAACAAAATTTCTCTTTATTATGAAAGTAATTTTAAATAATGTATTTGAAAAGTCATTGGCGTGTGCAAAGGAACCTGATTAAAAAAGGGAAGGGGGACCTTATTACTTAAAATAGTGTGTGTGTTTGAACTTGTATACTCCAATAATACAGGCCTCTCGTTTTAAAACCTTTAGCA